ATTGACCCTTGGTCAAGCCTCTGTCACGTCAGTATCTGATGCAACAGGGGCTTTGACTAAGCGTCAAGATTTGACGAGCTGGGCCTGAGTTGGATGCCTCAGGAGGCTCAGCTGCACCAGTGGTTTGGGGCATCTTTAGAGCCAGAACTCAAACTGGCTAGCTCAGAGCCACTGGCCTCGTCCGCAGAACCTTCCTTTTACCCCATTTCCTCTTTATGAAGATAGAGAAAAATCCTCCACATCATACAATCACCTTATTATAAAAGTATCTCCATGTTTACCCAGTGAATCCTCTCATACTTTCTCTGGTCCACTGGGCGCTGCCTCAATAAGAAGAATTTTACAAATATCTGGGTGGAAATAAGGCTGCAGAGCATGTTGAGTTCCTTAATGGTTCATTTGACAAAAGATATGTAAAGGATGTTAATGTTTGAAAACCAAAGCCATTGGACTTTGTAAAAAAAAAAAAATGAAAAAGTTCCCCTGTGCTCTAGATAAAAATCATGAGATTTGACTTGGACCGGAATCTTAAGATTTTATTATAAACAAGAGACAAAAAACTGGATTGTAATAAAAGACTTTAAAGACTTGACTACCAGAACAGTAAGAGCGGTGGTTCGGGGTCCTTGCAGCTCTGCAATGCATGTTTTATAAAACAATGTATATCACAGAAACCACATTCACCTTGGCTTATTTTCCTCATTTTTGTAACCTGCTGCCTGTACGCACTTTTTATGGTCATCCCTCAGTAGGATTATGATGGTACGCCTCCAGAGTGCCTGAAGGACAAGTACGAGCAAAACACCCAAACCCCACAAGCATAAAAGTGCCTGGAGCTAAGATCAAAATCTAAACTGTCTTTCTGTGCAGCTGCAGCGAGCCACAACAAACTGATGCTGTATACTAGTCACAAGACTCCGCGGGGCCACATTTCTTCCCTGCAAACCTATGCTGTATGACATTCCACAGCTCTGTGTTGGTTGAACATGCCTCTGTTAGGTTGGCTGCCAGATAATATGGCTACAATTTGTCAAGTGAAAAGCCCCAACAATATCTATCAGAAGCTGAATAAAGTCATAAGATCCAGGAATCTGAAACAGCAGCTCCTTCCAGGTGGTGCTATGCAGAGAGAGGAGCAGGTTGGGGGATATTGGAAGAGACAGAGAGCTCGTCTGCCTGCCCGGCTGCAGCCATTGGACTTGGCAGCTCTCTGCCAGGGAAATGCTGACAGGCAGGCGCGCCTGTCACAGTACATAAGTGCCTCCCTGCACAACACCAGGGCCTATAGGGCATGTCGGCTGTTCTGCGTTCAGAACCATCTCACTCTCAAGCCAACAATTGAAGTGTGAAGTGAGGAGCCTTGTATCATCACCTTTGTATGGATGAAAGACTCTGAAAGGTGAAGGAAAGGCCAATAGTGATATCATAGAAATGCATAGCACATATTTTCAACAAGACTCATCAAAGAAGCTTAATTAGAAGAACAGCTTCTGTGAATAAAATGCAGACAAGGCAGAGTTTTCTGCAAGCAGAGAATTTATAATTACGCTTGGTCAAATACAACATAAGTGCTCAGATTTAGGCAAAGATGTTTCACATATACATCACCTTTTGCTGATCCTATTTTTACATAAAATATAGACAGATGCAGAGTGAGGGCCGCCCTGCTTACAGTCTCTGGGATTTTGAAGCTTTAGTAAAAAAAAAACAAAAGAAAACAACCAAAAGCAGTAATACAAAAAGCCTCAGTCATGGGAGGACGATGACTAATGTACTCGAAATAACCTGAAAGTTGTCAGCAGTGAACCTGATGTTACACTTTGTTACCTTGCAGGTCACATTGGCCAGATGGATGAGCTTTATGTACAGTTTTTAGGTTATTTGTTACTCTCATAATCTTGTGACATGCTACTGTCATGTGACATAGTTGACTTTTTTACATTTCTGGTTTCATCCCTGCACAGTCTCCACCATAGTCAGTTAAATAACATGCTGCTGTCATTTTGCACATCTCTGATGTTGCTGCTATTTTCAAATATCCATTCCTGTAAAAATGTCCATAGCTGTATATGGGTTGTTTATTCTCCGGGTTTACAGTTTTTATATTGTTAAAACATTTCACAGTACAGTATTTTATTGTTTATCTTTTAACTCTTCACTATTATGTTATTTTTATACATTTCAAGGTCCACATTTGTGTGGCAATTTTTGTATAATCTTTTTGCTGCTGTAAAGGTCAGAATTTCCCCATTGTGGGACAATAAAATAATGTTCTATTCTATTATATTCTAAACTTTCAACTGTGAAAATTTTCAAGCACATCTATAAGCCTATCTTTAAATTTGTGCCAACTCTGCATTTGTGTGTAAAAGGTATTTTAATTATTACATTTTATTCACCCTAAAAAAATTTTTTGTTTTTTTTTGTAGACAACGAAAAGAAAAAATTGTATTTTGTCTAAATAATGTGAAACTGGTTGAATGTGAGGGCTTAAAATGAAATCCTAATACAGAGTCTTATGATGTCTGTGGTTAAAAGAAATAACCTTTAAAAAAAGTTATATATTTGCAGTGTCCATACAATAAATGGTATTGTCTTGTGGGGCAACAGTGGCGTTGGCTGTAGGAGCTTAACCCATTAATCAAAGGATTGACGGTTTAAGCCTTCCTTTAAGTCAGGCTTTTAGTGTCGTTGTGTCCTTGGGCAAGACACTTCACCTGCATTGCCTACTGATGGTGTCAGTGAGACTGGTGGCTCCAGTGTACGGCAGCCTGGCTTTTGTCAGTGAGCCCCAGGGCAGCTGTGGCTAGTATAAGTCTCCTGACATCAAAAAGCATTAAATACGTACAGATCATTTACTATTTGTCTGACTGTGGATTATGTCTCATGTTAACTCTTATCACTTTGAAATTTTACATATAGATATAAGGAGTGGAACGGTTCACAAAATCCACGGTTCGGTTCGGTTCACGGTTTCGTGGTCACGGTTATCGGTTCGGTTCTGTATATGTTTATTGCGGAGGCTGTAGGCTTTGCTTTGTGCAGGCGGTCTGGAGCGCAGCGGGGCGAAGCGGAGCGCTGACGGAGTATGTGGGATTTCGGGGTTAGCATGACATGTTGGTCATGTTGCTGTTAGCATAAACAAAACGTACTGCACAATGCTTGCACACTGTTGCACTTTTATCCACAACTTTCTTTCCGCCGTCATCGTAGGTCCTTCTAAATGCATGCACCGAACGCAACACACGCGAACCGAACCGAGACAGTCGAACCGAACGTTTCGCTTGGTTTTCATAAACCATTCCATCCCTAATAGATATACCTTATGGATATACCTTATCCACCCCTGTTATTTACACATATTAGAAACATGTGTAAAAAGCCTTAAAGCTGGGCTATATTTTCTTTTCTCTTTGAATTTACGTAACTCGTTCACTATCTTCCACTTTGTGTTTTTGGTAAAATTAGTTATTTCTCAGTACTGTATTGTTCTGCCATGAAAAAGTTTTTTATTTATCAATCATTGTCAATACAGGTGAACTGAATTCATATACAGTATCAGATGTTGTGCATGAAGATTCAGATCTTCTTTGTTTTTCTTATTTATGTTTGAACCTACATACAGCATAATCTTTCACATGGCTGTGTTGGGTTGGATTCCTAATCTCAGGTTATTTGCTCACTTTTAACTTAGTTAAACTTAAAAAATCAATACTTTCCTTTAATAAAATTAGATTTGTTGGTCTAAAATTATTCTACGTTGGTGCTATGTACCATAGTGATTTAAATGTTTAGGTGTTACTGAAACAAATCATAAATAATGTACATGGAAATAACCAAATAGGAACCTAGAAATAGATTTATTAAATGCAGCATTTCTCCCCAGTCCTAAATGTCACCTCCGGAAGCTTTAGAAAATAACTCAAATTGTTCTGAAATCCAGTGCAATTTCCTTTCAAATGTATTTCCACCTGTGATGGGGTATTTTAGAAATGTGTTTTAAGGATTTGTAAGCAATTTGTAGCCAGCATTTTGGGAAGAAGGAGTATTCTCAGTCTGGCATGTTCGTTTCTGATAACATTTGGTGCGATGCAGTTTGTTCCCAGGAAGAAAAGATTACCTGGCTTACTGTAACCTTTGCTGGTAAAGCTAGAAGTTTTTTTTTAGAAGTTGCATTCTGAAGCACAGGTGTTTTGACTGGCACCGAGTGGGGAGCAACTCTCTTAACTGGTTTTCCTTCAGAAATACTTCTAAACAAGATTGATTTTTAAATTACTTCCTAGAAATATGAAGAATTTACTCTGCCGTTTTATCTGATGACTGCTTTTATCAGCAAATATTCCCCTTGCATGTTATTTCTGTCTAACGGAAAACTATTAAAAATTTGTCTATAAAATTTGAAAAGAGAAAACCCTGAAGGATTAATTGTGAACTCCAAAAAGCCAAGGTGACGGATTAGACTTTTCCTAAGGTTTTCAAGAGGTCTTGGGCATTATTAGAATTCATATTTAACTCACCCAAATCCTTTCCCCTCTCTGTTTTCTGAATTTCATTGCCTTGCTATTGATCCCTCTTGACATGAATAGGAAATCAAAGTCACCTAGCTGTGGAAACTTTTCTTTTGGCCTTCAGCTACACTTGCATATCTCAGACACATTTTCTGATGAGCTGTCTGGCTAAGTGTTTTTCAGCCAGAGAAATTACAGTATCAATTGAAAGTGACTTTATAGAGTAAGGAGCAAAAGCAGATGGGAAGGTGGGCTGGGGGGGGGATTGGGGGGTGGAGGAGCTACGCAGAGAGTAAAAGACCGACGATGTGAGATTATCCTTTTGAGACGCAGCACTTATGATAGACATGGATTGTATTTAAGACAGGATTGCTTTTTCAGGGAAATGAGGAAAGTGTCATTTCAGTATGATAAAGACATTCATTCTGCTTCATGTGCCTGAATTCTGAAAGCCTTTTCTTCCTCTTTTTGTCTTTGTTCCTCTCTCCACAGATGTACTGCGGACTGCCAATGATTTTTCCTCCTCCAGTTCAAATTCAAAAGCAGGGAAAGTCTGCATTTCTAACTGCTCCCTTTCACACTGAGCTCCGACAGACACATCTTGGCCACAGCTAAACCTCTGTGTTAGTTCTCCTTTTGTGTGGCAGTTTTCACTCATCAGTCCGTCCCTATGGCTTCCTTTCTGGTATCGATTCTTCTTCTGGTTCTCCAGACATACGCTGCCCCATCTGAGCTTGTTAAGGCAAGCTTTAGTATTGCCCTGGATGCCATAGACCTTGATCCAGTTCTACATGCCAATGTCTCAGAGGATGCAACTTCATCCCCGCCCCCAGGGACAACCAAACGGACCCCTCATAGCATCATAATTGGGGTACGAAAAGGGGGAACCAGAGCACTATTGGAGATGCTTGACATACACCCTGAGGTTGCTGCAGCCGCCACTGAGGTACACTTCTTTGACTGGGATGAGAACTATGCTAAGGGTCTTGAGTGGTACCGTGACCTCATGCCCTACTCATACCCTGATCAAATCACGATAGAAAAAACTCCAGGTTACTTTACTTCACCTCTCGCTCCAGAACGAATCTGTTCTATGAACTCATCCCTTAAACTGTTGCTGATCTTGCGTGACCCAGCTGAGCGGGTGATCTCTGACTACACCCAGGTTTATTTCAACCGGCTGGAGAACCATAAACCAGTGCAAGCTATTGAGAACCTTCTCGTGCGGAATGGAGCCCTTAATATTCGCTATAAGGCTATTCAGAGGAGTCTGTATGACGTTCATATGCGCAACTGGCTGAAGCACTTCCCTCTGGAGCAGATACACATAGTAGATGGGGATGCTCTGATCCATGACCCCCTGCCAGAGCTTCAGAAGGTGGAGCGCTTCCTGAACCTGCCTCCAAGGATAGTTCCCTCTAATTTCTACTTCAACCAGACCAAAGGGTTTTACTGCATCCGGAGTGATGGACGAGAGCGGTGTCTGCATGAGTCTAAGGGACGTCCTCACCCCTCCGTTAACAGCACTGTCCTGCAGCAGCTTCGCTCCTACCTACGGGAACACAACCAGAACTTCTTCCGGATGGTCAGGCGCACCTTCAGCTGGCAATAAGAAACCTGCATCACCGACGGGACTCTGTAGAGCCGCTACATAAGGACGAAAAAAGCAGCACTTTACACACACTGTACATTAGGAAAAGAGCAATCTCTTATTGATTACTTTTACAATCTGGATTCAGCAAAACAGTTCTATATTTACACAATGAAGATATAGAAGACAAAAAAATGTAACTACAGGCAAAGGTTCAGGATGAAGTTATTTCTTTCCCTGCTGGAAACATTGGGCTTGTGAGATAGCAGTGAAAATGAGTTAGTGAAACTGATTAACTTTTGCCCGACTTTCTTGTTTGATATTCTTCTTGTTCTTACTAATAAACTATTGTTTTAAAATGTACAGCACATTTGTGTTTTTTTCCTGTTTTGTCATTTCCAAAGTGTCAGCTTCCACCAACAAGTGTTATTCAGAAAGCATGAGATACGAGCAGAGGCATTACAATAAGCCTTTGATTTGCTGGGTGCAAGGTAGACATTAATGCAAGGAAATGGGTACCCTGGAGCAGCACTTTAGTTCTACAGAATCACTAATAGCTTTGGACATTGAAGGTGGCCTGCGCCCGCAGCTACAGTCAGATCTTCACAGTCAGCAAGCTCAAATCTGCAGAGCTTCTGTTCCCCTCTTCTGCTGCGTTGCTCGACAATTTGCGCAGGTGTTAAATGTGGTCATTAAATCATAAGCTTAACAGCCTTGTAAATTATTTACAAATGACACTGGATCTGCATCGATGCCTTTTCTACATATTCTCACTTTCCTGAATTGCACAAAGCATGCAGTTTTCCCAGAAACAGCTTGTCGTCTTCTCCCACAACAAATAGACAGGGGTCATGTTTCTTTCATTGATTAGACTTTAAACAGCAGCCAAAGCTACAGCTCCGCTGGGATCTGATATTCATGTGATCTCTCTGCTCTGTCTGCTGGAATAAGCACTGCTCCCCTCCTGAGGCAAACAGTCATTGATGCTGCACTGAATCCATATCCTGGGCTGAACATGGGAGGGGGTGTGAAGCCATGGGCGATATAGAAATGTGCTGAATATGATTACATTATGAGCCTAGTTCAGCAGGGGGATTTGGGGTTTAAGATCAAGATTATTTAAAAAAATTTAACCGTGCATGTAAACATATTTTAGTCTGATGATGTTTTAAAAAGCTAAAATAATTTTTGCCTACTTTTCTCTCATCTTCTCAACAGGGGGCACTTGAACTCAAGCTTTTCTCTAGCACAAAAAAAAAGTTTGTGTTTTTCCAGATTCCAGGTGGAGGGCCTGGGACAGTTATTCTGCGACCTTGGCTGATGTGTTGTTCTTTGTTATGTGCAGCCCAGCTGCTCATCTGAGGATAAACCAAGCATTGGTTCTCCAGACACATTAACAGACACATTACAGATCCTTCCCAGGGTACTACGAAGTGTCCTCTGTTTTCCAGGTGCGCAAGATAGAAAACATGCTTTGTTTTGCTTTCCCCTAGTAAAGGAAGCATTTTAATGACTTGAATTATAAAGGGAAAAGTTAGGTTTTCCCTCTAAATGGTGTGTCACGCATCGCCAACAACCTTTGAGTAAATTTAACCTTTTAAGAGTACAAACTTTTACTGAATGCTATGACTGTGTAAATAATTAATACATAATATTAATTTGGTCCTTTAAATTGTTTAAGTTCTTTTTCCAGAGCTAGAGTGAATAAACAAACTAATAACTTAAGCAATATTTGTTAAATAGCAAGTAGATTCACAAATTTGAATTTATTTTGTAGAATTTCTGATCGATGCAGGCATGAAATGAATCATGTGGACTGAAAAACATGCATACAATGCTACTAATGTTCTTTACCTCCAAACAAATTGTAGCTTCACCACACATTTTTTGTAGCCTTGAGCAACTTTGATGGCTACAAAGTAAGGTTTATTTCAATTGCTTTGTTTGCATTACATACCGGTAGCTTCTTCATCTAATCTGCACATTTCTAACTTGGTTTTGGTCAGGCCTTTTGAAAGGCATTCAAAAAGCTTTCATGATTATCTCATTTTACTTCATTTTTTTAACAAGAGTGTCCTGTGGATTTAAGGTGAAGTAAAATTTGCCATGCTGTGTGGCATTTGGCTGCCATCACAATTCCTGACTCTTGTTAAAGTTTTAAAGAGTTCGAAAGCTTTACTTTAACCCCTTAAAACATTTTACTGTTAAATTCCAAGTCTTCTGCTTTCCTCTCTTCTAAACGAAGCATGGTTTCTCATTTATAGGTTTGAGGTTAGGGCTGTGAGGAAATTTAAATAGGAAGCCTGATGTAAGCCTTCCATCATTGACCTCTTAAAACATGCAAAACTGTCCAATTTTTTATTTTGTGACATAAATTCTTACCCTTAGATGAGAGGAAAATATTCAAAACAGCTCACAATTCACAATTTTTTAAAGTAATAACAGAATAGAAGCTGCTGAAACACTTGTAATTGTGTCAACTGAGTGAACTTTGAATTTACATGAACTGAGTTCATATAAAATGGACACCTTTAAGCAACTAAAATCAGCAACTGTCTTCTTAAACAAGACAAATTCCTTTTTGGAAATTAGAACAAAAACATATGGGATGGATTAAGCAAGTTCATTTTTTGTAGATGTCCAAACTTCAAATTAAAAACATTATTAAACAGATTCTAATTCAATATCTGTAAAAAAAAAAAAAAAAAAAAAAACTTGCTAGGCCATTGCAGAAAAAAACAAACAAAAAAATAGGGTTGACTTTCTTGGAGAAAAAAAAAAGGTCAGATTTACTCCAGACTGCTTATAGATCTACAGCAGGCCCTGGAACATTTTGCAGCTAAGTTTGCAGGATGAATATCAGATGGAGTTCATGGCTCTCAACTAGAGATAGAATAAGTAGCTCGGGCAACCAGGGGAGGCTTGGAGTAGAGCTCAGAATCAGCTGGAGTGGCGCAGACATCTGTTTCGATTACCTCTGGACGTCTCCCTCAGAAAAGTTTCCAGGCACGTTCAACCAGGCGAAGGGAAAGAGGACGGTCCAGGACACGATGGAGAACCTATGGCTCCTGGCTAGCCTTGGAAGGCCTCAGGCTCCCTCAGAGGAGGCTTGTGAATTTTCTACTACTTGCTCTGAAACAAACTTAAACAAATTAAGCGAATTTTATAGCGTAAAATGGTTTCTGGATAGTACATTTATTCTTAAATGATAGCATATTAAAAACAAAATCTTACAGTATTTCTTATGGACAATTTTCCAAATTTAGAACAAAGAATACAAGTCTTTACCTCTGTTAACTAATTAAAACTTTTTCCTTCACCTTGTTGTCATTTAAAACTTTTAGATTGCATTTCATCAACAATGAACTGTGAAATCAACTCCACATGGCAGACCTGTAAAGAGCAAGGAAAAGTGTTAATAACTAAATAAAAAAGTCCTAATAAACACAATATAGCATCTTATATTTATAAAAAACAAACAACAAAAGTAGTCAGGGAGTTTGTGTTCACGAATGTGCTATTATGTAAAAGTGCTTATTTATGTTATGTCACTATTAGCACATTAATTAGTTCTATAGTGATCTGTTAAACATTAGTGAAATCACGGTATCATAAAATATAAAAAAAAATTAAAAACAAAATTTCTAATATTATTTAATTACTTTTAGATATTATTATTACAGTCTAACAATGTCTCTTACAATCTTAAATTATCTGCGGATGTCTGCCTTTGTACATTGCTCTCTAGTGTTTTGTATATTTTTGCGCTTTTGAGTTTTTTCCAGCTGCTCTGCTGCAGCTACCTTTGAAAGAGCAACTCCTGTGCCTCATGAAGTCTTCTCTCTGCAGTTTCTCTGCGACCTTCAGAGAATTAGAGAGAGTTTTTTCTGATATTCTGGTTGTCAGTAATGCAGATCTCGATATACATTCAGTATTTATTGTTTGTACTACTAATAATTTAGTGAGCGATTGAAAACGAAGTCATATTCTTTCTTTGTGCAAACAATCTTGATGATAAAAGTTGAATCTGATTTAGATTATTCATTGAGTAAAAGTTTTTTTTACATGCAGGGTCAAGCAAAAATGAAAACAGCTGCTAAATTAAGCATTAAGTTGCTGTAAATTTTTTTGGTCAAATATTTTTTTATGGCAAGTTAATAAATCAAATACTGAAATGCACTATTAATGAATAAAATTTAATTTTAAATTTAATTTATTTTTTTTCTTTACACAACCAGGATTAAAGGGACATTGTCACGTTATGAAATTTATAACATTCATACTCCAGATGCTCATTCCGGTTGCATACATAGCTCTTTATTTTGTTTTATGCTTTTTTTTTTTTTTGCTTAATTTGTTAGCAAATAAAGCCCTTTGTCTATACTTACAATAACAGTATTTGTTTGAGGTATGATACTGAGCATGTGCGCAGGGGGGTAAACAAGGAAATAATGGGCTAAACTCAGACCCACCTCCTAGCAGAGCTGTAAAAAATAATGAAGAAAGTCTGAGATCCAGTGTAAAAGAACACAAGAAATGTTTTTCTCCAAGAAATATATGATTCAAATCAGAATTTTTTTATGAACAAATGTTTTTTGGTCATTTTTGTACAGGCTTATAATATGACTCTTCCCCTTTAACCTTTTCTGTGCTCATTTGTTGAATGAGACCACATTGGCCAGTCTAACCTCTTTTTCAGGTATCGTCAGACACTGCTGCTGGTTAACCACTGTTGATACAGAACTCTGCAGATCAGAATCTCATTTTGGAGATGCTTTGATTCTGTCATCCATCCAACCAATGTTTGGTTCCTCTTATTGACTTCTCCTGCTTCTCCTGATACGTTTTACAAGCAAACTGCTTCCAGCTCCTTTACACATCCCTTTAACCAACAGGTCCATGATGAATAAATTGTTGGTGTCAAATGCATTAGTCATAATGTTTTGCCTTGTGTGTCTATAAGGACTTCAGAGTAACATATATTCCATATTAATAATGCATTATATACCATTGTTACAGTTAAGATGATACTCGCATACTACTATTGAGTTTAAAAACCAAAAGGTTACATCGCAAATTTATCAAGTGACCCATTCCTAGTTTTGAAGTTTTTATTTTGCCTTTTACTTAACAAAAAAACGCTCCCTCAGGCTTCTGCAACACAACTCAGTGAAAACCCTGGCTAACAAGTTTCTCTAACTAATGACTCCTATTGAGTGAATCCCTTATCACGGCATGTCTTTGATAACTGCCAACCTTGGATGTAATTAAAGGTTTGAGGGGTGGTCTGGAGCAATCTGCTGTAGATAGTTTGGCTGCTCTTGTCA